GCCCAGCAGCACGTCCACGGCGGTCGGGGCGGATGGTTCGCCGTCTGCCCGGCGCTTGTTACGACGCTCACCCGTCGTTTCCCAGGCGTTACATTCGTTGTCGGAAATTGTCAGGTCGTTAACGACGGTGTTGTTTGCGTGGTTAAGTATCGGCGTCGCAGCCATAGTCGAGCGGTTTTGGTTAAGGATGTCGGCTAACAAAGTTTAAGGGGAAACGCCTCTAGGTAACGAGCGAGTTCTCGCCATTTTGAACAGTAAAACTGCTAATGAGCTCGAGGAAGTGGAGTTGTATGAGTTGTTGGGAAAAAATGAGAGACGTGGGTTTTAAAATTAGAATCAAACCATCCTTTTCGAGAAGGTTCTTTGCCCATTCAGTGAGTGTTCATTTGAACTGGATTTGATGGAATTGATATTTTTTTTTGGATCACACAGATTGTGTTGTTTCATGTGACAGTTGGATGATTCAAACATTAGGCTATTGACTTCCCCCCCATGCAAGACAGGGGATGCAATAGCCTAGTGTATAGGTCAATTAACTATCACGCATTTCCATCATGTTACGCATTGACATGATTGGTATCGTATATAAAATACTATTCTACACATACCACTACAGTACATGCATCATATTTATGCATTACCATTCCATGTTTGGCTCATTATATCAATCGTTATGTGTGCATTCCAACTTCATTAATACACGGCACAGTACTCCTGCGTATGCATTACGGAATAAATAGCCGCATGTTTACTATAACATCATTTTTTCACTCCATTCATCCTCATGAAGAGCCAGGGCAAATAAAGTAATCGAAAGAAATATAGTATTACATATTGCCGTAAACTGTAATGGCAAATAAGTAGGAATCCTTTCATTCATCCGTTCACTAGATTTTCTTCAAATTTTTTATTAACAACAACAACAATAACAACAACAACAACAACAACAACAACAACAACAACAACAACAACAACAACAACAACAACAACAACAACAACAACAACAACAACAACAACAACAACAACAACGACGACGATGATAACAACAACAAAACGACAACAACAACAAAAACAAAACAAAACAAACCATGTCACATGAAGCACGGACTGAACGGACTAATGAGTTGCTCGGATGGGCACTTTCTTGTGGGGCTGATTGTAGACCAGGAAAGCAAAAGTTTCTCTTTCATATTGCAAAAAAAACAAGAGGTGATGAGATCGTCTTAGGGTTACGAAGCAATTAAAATTTTGTGCATTCGGTACTAACATAATTAAATTGCTTCTGTATTGAAAACAATACAGATTCAAAATGTGTCTGTTTCTCTCAAGCAAAAGGGTCTATGCGCTTTCAGAAATCGATCTCAAAACTATTGGATCAACAGTCCAGCCGAAAACTATTATACGAAACGTTCTGTTTCTTGCTTTGGTACTTTACCGCAAGGTGTCTTGGACATGCAAAGACATAGAGTCATCCGTGGTAAGTCATCCTTGTTGTTCCTTGTCCCTAATGGTTCTAATTCCTCGTTGCTTTCTTTCTCTTGCCGTTGGATATGTAGTTTCCTTTTGCTTATATCTTCCTTTCTTCCCCCATACCACATGTTTAACGTTGATTGTTGTACCATTATTTGGTACTTTCTTTTGTCGTTTTTCATTGCTCCAACCGAGTTTCACCTATGTATTATCTATACTAGGTAGATTTTAGAATACTCCCTTTGCTGGTGCATCTCCATTTTAAACTCTCTCACTCAGCCGTCTCTCCCTCGCTCGTCCGCCTTTCTCACCCGTTCATCTCTCTCTCTCTCTTCCTCTCACTTCTCAGACCTTCCAGTTTTTTAAGCGTTTTTCTTCCCCCTCTCCTTCCTTCAACCGTAGTTTATAACACTTCTCATCTCAATGCTTGCCTTTTGTAAATGTAATATTTAGCTAATCCGTATTTGTATTAAGGGCTGTGACATTACTCAAAGAGAGTATGAGCATCATGTTCAGTCTCTCTGACGACGAAAATATTCGTGAAGTTTGACTAGCAATCTATTTACGAATTTTGGGTTCATCTAAACTACCGTTCTGTTTTTACTTGTTCACTATAAGAGAGTGGCACGCCTTTCAAGAAACAACTCACAGGTAGTTCTCTCTCACCTACTTCCTCGTAACAAGTACTAATCTGCTATATAGGCTGCAGCAGATGAGTACTTGGTTGATATATTCTTTTTTGTTATTTCTGTTTTCAACTTGCCATTTTTTCTTCCATTCTCTTGTTGCAATATTGTGTCTCCCTTTCAACCCGTTTAGTCGTAGCTTACATTTCTGGACATTTAAACATTTTACCCAGTTTCATCTCTGATTTCTTGCATCCAGTTCTTTGTTTCTTCCTGTCGTCAAGTATACTTTCTTCTTCTCATTTGTTTCCTTTTTCCCAACCCTTTTTTTCTTCTAACCTGACAACAAATTTATTTGAACTGTCATATTTGTGTCTCTCTCCTATCCTCCCTTGTTTTGCTTTCCCATTTCTTCTATATCGAAAATTATATTGTATCTTTTAGGAGGCCAAGTTTAGTCTGCAAAGTGGGAAGAATGGTGGTGATTTGCAAAATTTATTATTATTATATTTCTTGTATTTTGTTTTGCACCTTCTATTGTTATTGCTTTGACTTTGTTTCGGTGCAAATTGGGTTTCTCTCTGTGTGTGTATTCATCAGTACTCATTCATTCATTTCATAAGCAATGCATGTCTTTGGGTCTTAGAAATCTGGTCAACCTATCATTCTCGAGAAGATTCTTTGCTCACTCAGTGAGTGTGTTCATTTGAACTGGATTTGATGGAACGGATTATTTTTTTCAGATACACAGATGGTGTTGTATTCATGTGATAGTTGCATGACTTTCCCCCTTTGCTAGGCAGAGGATGCGGTAGCCTAGTTGTTTAGGTCTTATAACTATCACACATTTCTATCATGTACTAGCATACATAGGGCAGGAACATATAGCTTACTAGTACGAATTCTACTATGCACCATATTCATGCATTATGCAATCCTCGTACTAATAGATACATTACAAGATACGGAACCATATAGTCAGAAAGGTTTTATTTGACAGAAGGAGCACAGCCACATACGTACCACAAGAAGCATAGTAAGGTAGTCATTAGAGTAATTCTCATTATTTTTTCCATATTTTAATTTTCTACATTTTGAAAAAAAAAAATTATACAAAACGATTGTAATAGGTTGCTCCGCAACCCAAAAAAAAAAAAACAAACAAACCACAAGCATGCGTCATGCACGTGCGCGTTTCTTGGATCTAACGAGACCTCACATGGGGACCTCCTCGTGCCATGCACCCTTGAAGCATGCCCCATGTTTCTCCCAAACCACATTGCTTAATAAGTACAGATCTGCCGGATGGTGGTACGATGGTGGGGCACGGCCTATACGAGATCGCGATTACAGACAAGCATGTTACGACCATGCGCGGGCGCTTACGTGCGATATTTCAATGGTGGAGCTCATGGTGCGAGAGCAGTTTCATACTCTCTGTTATCTCAAACGGCTATTGGATGCCATGGAAGCATGAATCATCAAATTTAAGTATGAATGATTTAACCGAGTGACCGAACTCGTTCGAGCAGGCGACTGGATGTTTGCACTCGACCTAAAATCAAGATACCACCATGTCGACATCCATCCTTTCTGCTGGAAGTTCCTTGGACTCGGGTTCGTCCGGAGATCATACGTTTTTCGATTGATACCATTTGGTCTCGCAACGGCCCCTATCATTTTCACGCAACCCATTAAGCAACTCGCCCGTCGCTGGCGCACACTCGGAGTGCGAGTCATCCCATAGGTCGATGATATTATGTTTTTGTGCTACACAGATGCGGAAGCTCGAACCACAGGTCAGCTGGTTAAGCAGGACCTCAACAAGGCGGGATTGATCAACAGCTCAAAGAAATGACTCTCCAAGATGATTGATCGAGATGACTATGCAGTCAAGGAATCATGGTTCTCCCTCATCGAGCAACGTTTGGGCCCGCACTCTATCGATTTATTCACCAGCGTGAACAACACCCAATTGAGTTGCTTCTGCTCTAAGACACCTCACCCCGACGCAGAGGCGATTGATGCCTTCTCCATACCATGGGGGTCCGAGCACGGATATGCATTTCTATCACCCCACCTCATCCCAGCAGTGCTCCACCTCATCCCAGCAGTGCTCCACCATGCCCAACGGACACGAGCATCGCTGACGCTCGTCGTGCCCCATTGGCCAGGGGCGAGTTGGTGACCACAACTCCAACCCGCCCTGCCCCAATGGGCCCCTAGCATTCACGCTCATATCTACCTCACCCATGGGAGTCAATGTCTACTTGCAGGTACACACACTCGCACTTTTTCAGGGGAATGATTGCCTCATAGCCCAATTCTCGCATTAGGAGTATCGTTTGCCACTTGATCCCTCACAAATTTGGTGCAAGATTACTCGAGAGGCTCAAGCTAGAATTGCTTCGGATGATCACGCAAATACAAGCTGACTCCACAATTCGCACTTACAAACCATACTGGGTGAAGTTTCATGCATTCTACAACTAAGTCATGTCAGAATAACTAGGCAAGAATGAGTGCATTGAATGGAACAGTTGGGTACAAGTAGCAAACCCTAGTTGGGGTTGTACCCCATATTGGCTACCCCACTACAGCCTACCAACATATAACACATTACAATTTAACACACCCCCATAGGCAAAGTGGGGGAGAACAAAGGGTCACAAGACCAGTCCAGCAAAGCAACGCAAGCCCAGGGTGGATCACAACGTCACCACACTCTGAGCACAAGCAAAGGCCACAAGGCCAGTTCACATGCAGTGCTAGAGATAGTACAAGACAAGCAACACAGTGATCAAAACCTAGCAAGCAAGCAACAAGATATATATAAAGTACAGTACAAAGAATGTCAAGCAGTGAGCAAGTGAGGAAACGTGGACACAAGGCCTAAAGAAGTACAGTGCCGCTGATGATCACTAGGCGGGAGCGCCTTGGTGAAGATATCAGCAGTGTTGGCCTTCGAGTCCACGTACACAAGCCGAAGCTGACCGCGCTGCTGAAGCTCTCGAGCAAGAAAGTAGCGAAGAGCAATGTGCTTCGTCCTGTGCTCCAGTCTGTGCTCCTGACACAAGGCAAGAGCCGCCTTGTTGTCACCGTACAGAACTGGAGGAGAACTAGGCCGCTCTCCCAAGTCAGTCAGCAGGTAGGTGAGCCAGCGTAACTCCTGTGCAGCCATGGCTGTGGCGTAAATCTCAGCCTCACAACTAGAGCCGAGAACAGAAGAAGAGCGGGTGGACCGCCACGAGACAGAACCAGAGCCAAGGCTGAAGGTGTAACCCTGTGACGACCGCTGCGTAGCCAGGTCGTCCACCCAAGAAGCGTCCGAGTGACCAGTGAGGACAACTCTGTCGCGTCCTCCAAGCACCAGCCCCATGCCTGATGTACTGCACAAGTAACGCAGCACCCTCTTAGCAGCCTCCCAGTGCTCTCGCCTGTGTCTCCCAGGCGCAACGTAACGAGCAAGGATGCTAAGAGGGTACGCGAGGTCAGGTCGCGTGCAAGTCATCAGGTACATGAGGCAGCCTACAAGCTCTGGGTACGGGCCACTCGGCTCTACGGACTCGTCCGAAGGTGGAGCTGAGAGCGAGTGGCTGGTAGCCAGAGGTGTGGCCTGTGGTGAGGAGAACTGGAAGCCGAAGCGCTGAAGGACCTGCTGCACCATGTGTGACTGGGTCAGGGTGATGGTGCGGCGAGCTCTGTCCCGGGTGATCTGCAAGCCAAGGTAGCTACGCAGTTCACCCAGGTCAGTGCAGGTGTGTCTCTTCTGTAGCTCCGACTTCACACGAGCGAGTGCCTCAGTGTCAACAGTAGCAAAGACCAAGTCGTCGACGTACACGAGAATGTAGAACGGCGGCAGCGACGTGTCTGTGCGCAGAAACAGCGACGGGTCAGCAGTAGACGGCGCGAAACCAAGAGCCGCAAGTGTAGTCCTCAGTGTGTCGTGCCACTCACGTGGCGCCTGGCGGAGACCGTAGACTGGTCGGCGGAGGCTCCACTGGGTACCAGGAGGAAACGACCCAGTAAAGCCAGGTGGACGGCGCAGCCAGATCTCCTCGTGCAGGCTGCCCTGCAGGAACGCTGTGCTGAAGTCAAGAGAGTGAAGCTCGTAGTCACGCTGAGCAGCAACGTGCAGCAGAACCCGAAGAGTGGTCATCTTCGGGGTGGGGGAGAAGGTCTGGAAGAAGTCGACCCCCTGACGCTGACTGAAGCCTCTAGCAACGTAACGAGCCTTGAAGACAGGCGGAGAACCTGGCGGCCGCTTCACCCTGAAAATCCACATGCCATCGACGATGTTCGCCTCAGGAGGGGGAACCTCGTCGACGTAGGTGCCTGTGGACTTCCAGGATGCCATCTCTGCGTCCATGGCTGTCTGCCACTGAGAGGAGTAGGGACCCGAGATCGCCTCTGCGTAAGTGCGCGGAGTGGGGATGTCTAGTGCATCCGGGTCTCCCTCAGGGGCAAGCAACCAGGCCACGAGATGAGGTACAGCAGCCGCGAGAGAGTCAAAGTCCTCCTGCCTGTCCTCAAGGACGTCCGTGCCAAGAGCACACTCACCCCCGACGGACGGAGGACAGACAGACGCAGACTCTGACTCAGCAACAAGGCTAGCAGCGTAGTCTAGACGACAGGCAGCAGCAAAGTCAACCAACTCAGCGACCAGAGCAGACGCAGCCGAGGACTCGAAGGTAGGGTCAGTGACAACAGTAGCTAGGAGACGCGTGACAGTAGGGTGCTCAGCACGATACCGGTCAGACTCAGGGTCCGGAACGGCAGGCAAAGAGGACACAGGAGGAGACGGTAGAGGGACACGCTGAGGAGAAGTAGACGGACCCAGAGTCATGTAGTGAGTGCCTGGGACAGGAGGAGGACGCTCACGACGGACACGACGACCAGTGCGAGCAGTACGAACAGGCGACGCAGGACGAGACTCAGGCTCACGACGCTCTGTAAGACCTCCTGTGGGACCAGTGTAAGGAGAGGGAGCAGGGAGAGGCGAGGTAGGCGGTAACTGGGACTGCGGCTGGACAGGCGGAGGACACTCTACGGAGGGAGGAGGACAAGGAGGAGGAGCCTGCCCAAGAACCTGCTGAAGGAGCGGTACGAAGTACGGTCGCGGCCGCGCAGCGTCTCTAGAAGCAGAAGAGACTCCAGCGGCCGGGTCCTCAGTACCAGCAGGAGCTCCAACGTCCGGGTCCCGAGCACCAGCAGCAGCGCCACCGCTCGGGTCCTCAGCTCCAGCAGCAGCTCCACCAGGTGGGTCCGCAGCACCAGCAGCAGCGCCACCCCCAGGGTCCGCAGCACCGCTAGGAAGAGCACCCCCAGAGTCGGCAGCTCCAACTCCGCTAGCACCGCCAGCTCCAGAGTCCCCAGCTCCAGCAGCTCCAGTCGTAGCGCTCCCAGAACAACCAGTCCCGGCAGCAACAGTACCCCCAGTACGAGCACCCCCAGGACGAGCAGCTCCAGCACCCCCAACTCCAGCCGAGCCACTAGGACGGCGAAAGCGCCGGACGTACCAGTCACGAAGCTGCTGCGGTGTGAGAGACTGCTCAGCACCCCGAACCGGAGCACCCCCAGACGCAGTAACCCGAGGCTCCGTAGGCTCAGTAGCAGCACCCCCAGGCTCAGTACCCGCAGGCTCAGCACCCCCAGACTCCGCACACGCAGGCTCAGCACCCCCAGTCGCAGCACCCCCAGGCTCAGCACCCCCAGGCGCCGAACTCTCAGGCACAGTACCCTCAGCTCCAGCACCCGCAGTCCCAGCACTCCCAGGCCCAGCACCCGCAGGCTCAGCACCCCCAGGCTCAGCACTCCCAGCAGTACCACCTGCAGCAGCACCTGAGTCACCTGTGACCTCGACAGGCTCAGCGACAGGAGGAGGGTCTACCTGAGAGACACCTGAAGGAGCAGGACCCTGAGGGGGGAGGGGGTCTACCGGAGGGGGACCAGGAGCAAGGAAAAGCGGCGGGGGAGGGAGGGGGGCAGTGCGGTAGGGGAAGAGACGGTAAAAAGGGACCGACTCGTCAAAGGTGACGTCCTGAGAGGCGAAGACCCGGCGCGAGGTGGGGTGGTAAAACTGCCAGCCCGGCGCGTCAGGGACAAAGCCAAGGAAGACACAGGGAAGCGTGCGGGAGGAGAGCTTGTCCGCGGACGTATCGCGGACAAGGGCACGAGCACCCCACACCCGGAAGCGCGACGCATCGCCAACCTCCCCCGTCCAACGCAGTGTGGGCGAGGTCTCCGGCAAGGAGACACGGGGCCAGAGGTTGAGCTGATGTGCGGCGTACCGGACAGCAAACGGCCACAGAAAATGGGGAGCCGCCGCGTGGACCAAGGAGGTACGAGCGACCTCCATGACCAGGCCAATGCGGCGCTCAGCAACCCCATTCTGCTGTGGGGAGTCCGGAAGCGTGAAGGTCTGCTCGATGCCCTCCGCCTGACAGAAGGTCCTCAAGAGATCAGAGGAAAACTCACCACCTCTGTCAGAGTGCAGACACAGGACAGGGAGATCCGTCCGGAAACGGCGGCGGAGCTGGAGACGCATTGTGCGGATCCAAGGGATCAGAACAGCAGGGACCTCACCCTTGGTGCGCAAGGGGAAGACCGTGGTGTAACGCGAGTAGTCGTCGACAACCAGCAAAAAGTACCGCTCACCGCCCTGGCCACGAACGCGGGCTGGGCCCCACACGTCCAGGTGGAGGGTCTGCAGAGGAGCCTCTGTCGGGGGGAACGAGGAGGAGTGAGGAGCGGCGCGCTGCCGCCCCTCGACGCAAGGAAGGCAAGGTGGCGCAGGCGAGGCAGGGAGGGGAGGGAGGGACCTGGGAAGACCAGACACAAGGCGGCTACGGTGCATGCCACGGAGGCGTGGCAAGGAGGGGTGACCCAGGCGGTGGTGCCAGAGAAGAGTCTGGTGCGACAGGGAACGACACTCACAGGTGTGGGCCACCAGACCTGACGCGGACACCTGACCGACAGCAGCGACCTGAGGAGACGCAGTGGTCAGTGTGTAGAGACTCGACCCCGGCCGACGGGTAAACGTAGCCAGGTGGCGGCCGGTCCTGGAGCACGTGCAGATCGCCACACGCTGTCCTCCAGGGGTAAAGGTGTCAACCCACTGATCCTGAATGACAGTGTTGCTCACCAGGTTCGTCGAGAACGAGGGGAGGTGGAAACCCGACAACGAGCCAGACGGAACCGCCGGACAAGGGAGCACAGTGGTGGACTGGGCAAGGACTGGGCCCCCAGAGGGGTCAGCCAAGGAGACTGGTACCGGTGCAGGAAGCGGTGTGAGCTCAGTACTGTCACGAAAGAAACAGCGGGAAGCACCTGAGTCAAGGGTGAAGGTGTGACAGGCCTCAGCCGGTGCGGTACCTGAGAGAGCAGTCTCTGTGAGTGCTGTACCTGAGAGAGCAGACTCACTAGTACCCAGGGCAGCGGGCTCTATACCTGGGTCAGGCGGCACACACAAGTAACAGTCTCCCTCGGCACTAACAGTCAATGCATACATGGCAGCAATAATAGCATCATAGTCAAGAGCAAAGATATCAACACCAGCCCTCATGAGTTCAGCCCAGCGGGGGCGCTCAACATCCTCGCCCATCTCCTCACGCCAAGCGTCGTCAAGGCGGGAGAAGCAGCGGTACGGGGTGTGGAACCTCCCACACGTCTGTCCCTTGCGGTCACCTGTGCGAATGACATAGGAACAGCGGCCACTGCCCCCCGACGTCCCACGCTGAGCAAGCCACTCACGAAGTTGCTGGGTCGTCTGGGGACGCTGCTGCTGCTGGGAGCTCTGGGCCGAGCCAGTGCCTCCACTCCGACCTCCGCCGCCACCACTACCACCGCTACCACCGCTCCGACCGCCACCGCCGCCGCCGCCACCGCCGCCGCCGCCACCACCGCCACCGCTCCCTCCGCCGCCCCCGCCTCCGCTGCCGACCCCACTCCCACCAGCACTCCCGCCACCGCTCCCTCCAGCACCGCCTCCCCCCCCACCTCCCCCACCTCCTCCCCCCCCAGCGCCACCCCCGCCACCCTTGCCCCCCTTGCCCTTGCCGGTGCGGCGCCTCCCACCAGGAGCAGAAGCAGCGCCAGCAGACTCAGCACCAAGGAAGTCAACAGCAGCAGCAGTAGCGTAGGAGGGAGCGAGGGGAGAGGGAGAACACCCCTCAAAGATGGGGGTGCGAGGAGCGCCACGAGCAGCACCGACAGCGACAATGCTCTTTTCGGCCGCTAGCAGCTGCTCCTCTAGGAGGGCGACTGTGAGCTCAGTGGGACAGCGAGCAAGGAAGTGGTCTCGAACTGAGCTGAGGGTGTCAGGGAGACGGGTGACTATGAAGTGGAGTGTCCAGTACAGTGGAGGGGGGTTCTTAGCGCAGAACTCGGTGGGAAGGGCGGCACGCAGGCGAGCATCACTAGTGCGAAGGTGGGTGATAAGATCGGCGACTGTAGTAAAGGTGGACAGCTCAGGGAACAGGTACGGCAGCATGAGGCGGCTAAGCTCGGCTGTGGCAGGTGAGGAGTAGCGAGCAACGACAGCATCGTACAGGGCCTTAGCGGATTTGCAGTCGCCAAAATGCTCGAGCTCAGCTAGCGGCAGGTGACTGCGAATGGCTAGGCGAGCAGCTGCGTCACGAGTCTGCCAGTGGGAACGAACACTAAGCTCAGCTGTGGCAGGAGGGGCAGGTGCAGCACCAGACGCGTAATCATAGAGCGACACATGCTCCTTGCTATCGCTCAGAAGGAACAGCTGCAGGTCATCCAGCCAGGTGGCGAACTTCACAGGGCGGCCCTCAGCATCGAACGACAGCACGCGGATAGAAGCCATAGCGACAGTGCGACTGAGCAAAGGAAGCTGCCGCAGCGCTGCAGGTAGGTAGCTCGGCGGGAAGCGCGGCGGGCGGGCGACGCGGCGAGCGGGCAGTGCGGGGGGCGGGCTGCGAAGCGGGCAGCGGGCGGGCTACGAAGCGGGCAGCGCGGTGGGCAGGCGGCGCTGCAGGCGGGAAGTGCGGCGGGCGGGCTGCGAAGCGGGCAGCGGGACGGGCAGACGACGCGGCGAGCGGGCAGCGCGGCGGGCGGGCTGCGAAGCGGGCAGCGGGCGGGCGGGCGACGCTGCGAGCAAGTGGGCAGCGGGCGGGCGGGCGACGCTGCGAGCGGGCAGCGCGGCGGGCGGGCTGCGAAGCGGGCAGCGGGCGGGCGGGCGACGCTGCAAGCGGGCAGCGAGGCGGGCGGGCGACGCTGCGAGCGGGCAGCGCGGCGGGCGGGCGACGCTGCGAAGCGGGCAGCGGGCGGGCGGGCGACGCTGCGAAGAGGGCAGCGCGGCGGGCGGGCTGCGAAGCGGGCAGCGGGCGGGCGGGCGACGCTGCGAAGCGGGCAGCGGGCGGGCGGGCGACGCTGCAAGCGGGCGGCTTGGCGGGCGGGCGACGCTGCGAGGGGCGCGCGAGGGCGCTAACGAGGGGCGCACGAGGGCGCTAACAAGGGCGCGCGAGGGCGCTAGCGAGGGCGCGCGAGGGCGCTAACGAGAGGCGCACGAGGGCGCTAACGAGGGCGCGCGAGGGCGCTAACGAGGGTAGGGCACGGGGTAGCGTGGTAACCGCATGCGAGCGGTGGTGGGCCCTTAAAAAAAAACGGTCGGTAGGTCCTAGGGACCTCCTGCTCTGAATACCATGTCAGAATAACTAGGCAAGAATGAATGCATTGAATAGGACAGTTGGGTACAAGTAGCAAACCCTAGTTGGGGTTGTACCCCATATTGGCTACCCCACTACAGCCTACCAACATATAACACATTACAATTTAACAAGTCAAACTTCAGTTCCGGCCATACACAGACATGACACTCGCATTGTATATGGTTCACGCGATCCAACACAAGGCCACAATATCAGTGATACAGCTAACATGCTCTGCAATCACTCTGGTGTTGATTGAGTAGGTAGTTATAATATTTTGCTCTAGATAGTTGTGGGCTAAGGGCTTGGGCAAAAGATAATTGCTAGACTTATTGCGGGCTGGATTTGAACTCGCACCCAACAAGCACCAACAAACCTTTGCTGCTCACTACAACACCTTTGGTGTTGCTAGTGTTGGTGTAAGGGCCTAATAAACTCAAGCTATTAGGACTTAATCAAACTTAAAACCTCTCCTCGGGGTCACCTCCAAGGGTCCCTGGGTGCCTGGTACAAGACCAGCCCCTATCCTCGGGTCCGAGTTTGTAGAGAGAGGGATCAAGAAGGACTTAGTCAAAACAGCAAGAGTACCTTGAACGTCGCGCAGCGTGCCGTGCAGACCGTCGGTCGGATTAAGCTGAGAATTCGCTATATCGAAGCTCGCTCCAAGAGCTTTAAAATGAGCCAAGTTGCCTCGCGAAAAGTTCTGCCATTACTAAGTTATGGCTCGGACAGCGTTTGCCTAGCGTTGGAGTGCTAGCATACTAGCGTTGACTCGGGTAGCATTACGCCGTCGAACAGCGCAGAAACGAAATTCCAGCGAGGAAGGAATTCGCTTGAATCAATTTGACTATATTCAGGTACAAACAGAGAAGGATTAAATAGTTCTAGCTAGCAAGGACCTTGGGAATCAACCTGGGAACAACCAGGGATGATCCCAAATAATTCCAAGCAACAGAACCAACCTGGCTGGACAAAATAGCAGGTGGTAGGTTGGTAAACAACCTCTGGTTCTGTTTTTCCAACCTGGGAAAACAACAACCAGGTTCAGGTTCTAAAAACAGAACCTGTTTTGTCTTTGCCCAACCAGCCAAATGCTGGTTCCGCTGGTTTCCCCTGGCCTTGTAGCATGCAGATACAGACAAAAAACATCCAACCTTCACCTAAATTGTACCCCTATAGTGCCTTCCCTGCTACACTATAGTTAACCAAACAAAACAGTACAATTCCGAGTTGGATAGAACTGAATCTGCGCAATCAACTCAACCGAACTGCAAAGCTTCCATCTTGGGTTCCTTTGCGACCTCGTCCTTTCTGCTTGCACTGTTCATAGCGCATACAATGTTGTGCCGAAGCGCACATTGCGCGAGTACCTGCAAATGCATCAAGCGAAAATTGCGAAAGCAAACAAACACACGAACATTCCATTCACACCCAAATGCATTCGCACACGCATACTCGTACAAACAGACGGCAGGATGTCGTGCAATGTGCATTTGCACCCAACACACTCCCCCTCAGCCTGCCGGCTGCATCCCCATCATTCCATGCTAGTTTATGCTCATTCCACTCATGCGCACACAACGCCAATGAGGCTCATCCGCAAGCCTCTTGGTGAGAAAGTCTGCTGGCTGCTGGTGAGTCTTGATGTAGATTGGATTCACCGTCCCCCTCTTCACCTCCTTACGCAGCCAGTGCCACTTGATACGCATGTGCTTGTTCAGCCCATGAAGCACAGCGTTTCTGGCCATCCCAAGAGCCCCCTTGCTATCACAAAACAGCGGCGTAGCAACTTTCTGCTCCTGGCCAATCTCCTCTAACAGCCTCCTCAGCCAAATCACTTCCTTCACCCCATGGAACATCGCCATGTACTCTGATTCTACGGAAGAGAGTGCCGTCTCCGTCTGCTTCTTGGACCTCCAACTAACAGGTCCTCCCCCAACTACGCAGATGTATCCTCCCACAGATGAGGAATCCTCCTTCTCAGAAGCCCACGTAGCATCGGTAAAGCAAGTGAGAAATAGCTTGCCTTCTCCAAGCCTCTCCCCCTTCTCTTTCAGCACCTCCACCCCTTTCTGCTTCACCTGTGCAGATGCGGAGTATTGAACTCCAATGTTTGGGTGAGAGTTTAGGTACTTCACCACACGCTCAGCTGCATCCACCTGCTCCTCTGATGGATTCTGCACCACCCTAGCCAGCTGCCCAACCGAGAAAGAGATATCGGGCCTCGTGTGAACTGCTGCGTACAAGAGGCTGCCCACCAAGGACTGAAATTGCTGCTGCTCTTCAGCTTCAACCCCTTCATCCTCTGCAGCCTTCACAAGCTTGAATTCTGCTGGCAGGGGAGTTGCAACCTTGCGCTCATTCTCAATCCCATACTTCTCCCCCAGCTCCTTGATGAACTTCTCCTGGTGCAGCTTCAACCACCTGTGATCTGGATCCCTCTCCACGTGCATCCCGAGGTAGTACTTTACCTCCCCAAGGTTCTTGCACTTGAAGTTTTCCATCAGTTGCTGCTGCACTTTCTGGATCTCCTTCATGCTGCTGCTGAAGAGAAGAATGTCGTCCACATAGACCAGAAACAGCACCAGCTTCTCCCCCTCGCCCTTGAGAAAGAGGCTCTCATCACAGCTGCTGGTCCTGAATCCCATCTCCTCTAAAACAGCTGCCAACTTCTGGTACCAGCAGCGTGGCGCCTGCTTCAAGCCGTAGATGGACTTGTTGAGCTTGCACACCCTGCCCGTACCATCCTCATACCCAGGCGGCTGCGTCATGTACACATCCTCCTCTAAAATCCCATTCAGGAATGCCGTTGAAATATCCATCTGAATGATGAATTTCCCACTAACAGCTGCATCTGCCAACAAGACACGGAGGGTAGGGGGTTTGGCAGTGGGAGCAAAGATCTCGTTGAAGTCCTGCTTCTCCTTCTGCATAAACCCCTTCGCCACCAGCCTACTCTTGTAGATGGTGACCTGCCCCTTGTCATCGGTCTTGATCCTCAGCACCCACTTGCATTGTATCGCTTTCTTCCCATCAGGCAGCACCACCAGATCCCATGTCCTATTCTCCAGCAGACTCTGGTACTCAGCATCCCTAGAAGCCAGCCACTTGTCCCTATCTGGTCCAGCTAATGCCTCCTCCATGCTAGCTGGTTCCTCTGGTGCAGGGGCAAGAAAACAGTACGCAGGCTCATCCTCCTCATCCGGGTCATAGCCATGAGGTAGAATCAGCAATGCCTCTTCGGTCCCTAGCTGCTGCTCTGCTGCATCAGTTCCTGCAGTCAGCTTCTTAGTAGCCATACGGGTACGTCCTGGCCTGGAGACGGGTGTCTCCCATCCCTTCATAACGACACCCTTCGGCTTCTTAGTTTTTCCCTGCTGCTTCTCTCCTCCCTCGGGTCCAGCAGCTCCACTAGTGCTGCCGCCAGTTTCCACACCATTTTCTCCACCAGCAGATGCCTCCTGTACCTTCTCTCCATCACCATTTCCAGCAGCTGCCTCCTCTCCCTCCTCCCACACACTAGGAGTCAGGTCCAGCTGCATGGTGATCTGCTCCATCTGCTGGGACACCCTTGCCTCCGGCTGTTTCTCCCAGCTCCCATACATCATGCCCTCAATGAATTTCACATCCCTGCTGTCAAACAACACACCCTTGGATGGTTCCCACAGCAGCCATCCCTTGCTCTCAGCAGCCAGCCCCAAATGCACACACCAGATTGCACTCGCCCCCAACTTACTGCGGTAGGTCTTGGGGACGTGGGCGACTGCCATGCAGCCAAACACCCTCAGCATATCCACCGGCGGCTTCCTCCCAAGCC